CTACTTTGCGCCTTGGTTTGCAATAAGTTCGTTAATCAACGTTTCTGGCTCCGCGCGATCTCTCCCTGAAAGACTGTTTATTACGGCAGTTAATTTACTCAGGCCACGATTTAGCTCGTCTCTCTTAACACGTAAGGTTTCGATCTGGCTAAGCGCTAGACGCTTTAGGCAAACGTCGTCCGGCCTGATACGTGCACAACAAAGGGACTTCCAGTAAATCACTGGGCAGATGGAGTTTGCAATGCAATCATCTGCAAAACGAAGACATATCCGCTTTCGCTATCCTGGTTCGGAAGCTCACATATCTGTTGAGCGCTTTCAACACAGAGGGGTCCAAGCGGTGTTTCGCAGTAATAGAAAATCCCATTGATAGATGAAGACTCAATGTTTTCAAGTGAACATGTTTGCAATAATTCTTCTTCAGGCTTGTACAATTATATGCAAAAAACAACCAAAATTTAGACACAGCATAAAGACCGGTATAGCAATCAGTTCACAATCACTGGTCACCGTCAATCACTGCCCCCTAGAACACTGCGGTAGCACTTGCAAAATTCCTTGGTTTGGACGGTGCAGTTCGTCTGGGCCGAGTCAAGCCCAGTGTGTGAGGAAATATTTTTTGGACACACAATGCCGGCTCGTATAGTTTGATCGCTAAGCGCTCCGCCGATTCAAGTAAGCGTTTTCGAACGCACTTTGATCGATTTTCAGGTCTATTGGTTGTTCTTTTTGCATATATTTCTAAACTAATTTCATCCTTATACGCACTCATCAGGCAAACATAATAGGACAACAACTCCAATACGGGACCTTTGGGCTGACAGGCGATGTTTGTCGGCATCTGGTTTCGGATTTGCCTGTCACTTTGGTCAGTCACAGGACGCTTGCGCCTACAGAGGGGCCATGGGTGGCTTACGCTGTACCACCCACAGCTCCAACCACACACCCCATATCCAGTGTAAACCCGAAAGAATAAGACCCAGAGGTCTGTGGATGGGAGCGAAGTTTCATCAACGGAGCCGGCCCACACTCCTTCATAGGCAAACAAAAGCTCGTTGTATTTGGGGATTCAAGCGCATACAAGGCGGTGGCTGGACCGTAGTCCGCTCCACACTGAGTGCATGCAACCGCTCTTTGATCCTAACACGGCCCCAAGGACAGTGCACACCGTCCCTTGCAGCAACGTCCAACTGTCTCCTGGAGCCAGTATAAACGAGCTAGTGGGTAACAGACATGTAAGCACCTTGTCAACATGCACATCAAGCGCAGCCGCACCGGGGATATCAAACAACAGCCAATCACTTGAAACGACACGAAATAAAATAAATCGGATAATGTATACAGATACGGTGGCATAACTCTTCGCTAAATTAGCATATGAAGTAAGTTGGTCAGCAACGAATCCGTAATAAATAAAAAATGTCCATAAGTTACTTAATAGTGTTACAAACACAACAGAGTTACCGAAGATAAGCGCAATTGGCGTAAACAACTTGGTCAGTTAATAGAAGATTATTCAAGTAGGCAGAACAAACCAATTAAAGTGGAATGAAATTTACCCAGATTAAAAAGACGTAGTTTAGGTGTAAGTTGGTTTAACCCAAGTGCGATGAAGAAGCATCAAGAATGCAGCATCAGCCGATGACTGCACTACTAATCCACGGTGTCACAACAGGCAAGTCTGATTGGGGGGAGGGGTCACGTTGATCACTCGTCGTGTGAATGGAACGCGATGCATAGCAGCAATGTCTGTTGTGATTCAGATTAATCAACAGCATCATCAGTACGTATTAGCGGACGGTGAGAAACATGCCACAGCCAATGTGCCGCAAGACAAAATAATCTAAGAGATTAAACGTTACTGACTACAAAAGATAAAAAACTTACAAAGTGTTAAGATCTCATGGGGTTGAGACCATTGCTGGAGGGACAAATAGACTCACAACACAAACTGCATTGAGTTCGCCTCCTGACCGTGTGCATCGTCCTTCGGGCCCCAGCTCGGCAGTCGCGTAACACCAACCGACGCCACGTTCGAAATGAGGGACTTCCTTCCTCTTGACCAAGTCAGCAGTTGGCCTCCCCTCCTGCTCTTCCATCCAGACTCCGGGCGCGCAAACAACTCACGATACAATAGTCGACTTGTTGACATGTGCAGCACGTGGCTCAGCCGTCGGAGTGCGGTGGTGCTGAGCGGTTAACTCGCTCTTCCTGCACCAAATTCGCGACAAAGAACACGCTCATTGCTCACGCTGTGTTCCCACCAATGAGGTAACCGTATACGAAGTAATGAGTCCTGTGTCGTTATAACAAGCGCTGCCCGTTGTGACACGGAGGCCGAGGGGTAGGGATTTCCGCTGACATAGCAAAGGCCGTGCTTCTAGTCTTGGTCTTGGTAAACCTGCCTGTTGAGGGCACAAAACAAGCACGAAACCAATCGTGAAGCTCTCTGCTGCGAGCGGGCAGCACCCAAGATTTACCTGCTTCAGATACAGTACTGGTGACGGAGTTGACAGGCTCAATTCGTTGTGGATGTCAATCCACCTAGGGGTTACGCGTCGTTATTCATTCACACAACCTGTGAAACTGAACCAGCCCCTCAGAAACATTGAGTTCGACGTGTTACTGCGGTAACGCTGACACCAGTGGTCGAAAACGGAAGCAAATTTATTGTTCTAAGTCAAACACCGTCATAATGCGACTAGACGCAAACGCATTGCAACGGTCTGGGTACCTGCGCTACATATTCAGCTACAATAAGCGGTGTTTCGAAAGTGTCAAAAACTACCATCACTAACTCGGTTAATGGTCATAGACCAGAAGCGGTCTGTCTTCTAACTCTTCGAGTTGTAGATTTCTGTGAAATCATGTCACCGCCATATTCTGGACTTATTGTCATCAGACATTTCAGGAAAAGGCATGGAGTGTGCTTCCTAACCGCTTTGACCAACTTTTAGTTTACTGGAAACATCACATTGTATTTGCAACTACCTATATTCCATCTGATTATTGTTTCATCCACCGATGTTTAATTTAAAGATTGTTAGTAGGACAAGTAAGTGAAAAGCGGTTACTTTGATTTATTACTTCGTCATTTCCCATCTATTTTTACATACTCCTCACGACTACTGGCATTTCTGTTATGATTCCTGTGTTAAGTGGCGTCATTCGAGGTACTACTGTGGTTCGACCATGCATTGTGTGCGTTGCCTCTTTCCCTGTCTGCCGTCATGGTTCTCACCATAAGATAGGTCAACAGACTGCACTTGCGATTACACTGTATGTAGCCTGAATCCCAAAGCGCGTCGCGTGTCCGAATGCGGGATTTTTGACCCCCAAATGACTGGGGAGCTTAACACGGAATTGGTTGCCAGCACCTGGGGACAGAGATGTGATAATCAAAGTTCAAAATAAACTGAGCATAGTTCACAGCCCCCGAGCCAAATCCTCGCTGGCTCCTGGTGAACCGCTGTCTGGGTTTAGGCTGCTTAACAGTATTGAATTATGTTAACGCGTTACACTGCAGACGTAGTTGGATTGTGGTTATCACCAGTTCTGATACTATCAGAACTACGCTTTACTACTTACTTGGCTTTCCACTTCGTCGTGCCTACAGATCATGTATGGTTGTGACTAGGGGGGTAAGGATACTTAAACAGGATTTTAAGTTAACTAGTAGTTCAAGTAGGTGGAAAATTTGAGCATAATCCAGAGCGCGTTAACAGTAGCAGTCATATGCTGCATGTGTGGGCCAATCATTGGATGGTTACGGCTACTACCACCATCGAATAACTCAAGTCCAGGTTTGACATGTGTCATCTGACCTCAAGTGGTATCAACAGATCCAAATGTGCATCATCATCACATATTACGGACGATGCGATTCTATCCTTAGTTGCTTAACGTACCTCGAACCTTCCGTGAATAAAAATTTGTTTATTTACTTGATTTTAGAACACGAGTCTCGAGCCTGATGTTACCAGAGTCCTATAAATCTGCCAGTTTAGTTGGCATCGCACGCACCGTTGAAGATAGTTGCAAGGTTCAATATAATGGAGCAAGTTTGGAATCGAGTATGAATTCATAATTTGAGGTTTTAAAATATCCATCGGTTTTGCATAAATTTGTACTGAGGCTACCTTTCGCTACTGACACAGGAGACTTGGCTTGAATAATATCGGGGTCAAAAGCAAAACGTAGTCTCGATACAAGTCTATACAATACCGATTTATTTTCTAATACCTTCCGAAATTATAATAGTGAGGTCCTGTAAAAGGAAAGGACTCAGTTACTCCAAAAGGATGGAAGCAAGGAATAGTTTCAGCCGAAAGAGGCGAATCGATCAAAGTAGTAGTATTCGTGCAGGTCTGTGGCACCGTAACAACCACAAGGGTATCACCACCAAGTCATTAGTGACAAGGTTACTGACCTCCAGCCTCACCCGCTTGCCTAAGGGCGGAATAAGAATTCCGGATGTCAGGCGGATAGGAAAGTTTTCTTCTTAAGCATCTGTTTTCTCTATGGTTGCCGCATTCCTATCGTGAGCCTCCCTTGAAAATTGGGACTATGACGGAGCGGTTCCAAACGGTTGGGACGGTTTCCTGTTCCCACAGTTTCACTAGTAACTCGTGTAAATCATCCACGTTCGAGTTCTGCGCGAGAGGGTGGATCCAAAGGAACAGCCCACGGAGCAGGGCGATCAGTGGCCGGCGAGAAATCTAACAATTCCGACCGAATACATTGCTTTTCAAAGTGCTCAACCCAACGCTCTAAACGTTTTGATAAGTTGTGGATAGGCTGTCCACTCTCGTCACGTATAGTTTCACTAACACCAGGTCTCCCGCTACCTGTTTCCCGTATCAGCCAGAATAACTTACGATGGTTACCAAGGCCTGCGGCCATTTCCATCTCTGATGCACGAGGAGACCACCAGGATTCGCGGTCTCTCTTCAGGCTAGCACGGAGTATTGCCCGGAGCTCTGTGCAAGTTTTATTGTGTTCGCTTCCAGCCGGGATATGCCGGCGAGCGTCTATAAGTTCCAGAGACTGTGAAGAGACCCAATATCCATGTTGGCGATTAGACATACCACATGAGGATTTTCCTGCTGCTAGTAAGGTCTGGTGAATATGAGACCAGTGAACTTCAATTGCATCCAGTGAGCGTTTATCCAGCTCGCATGACAGCGTACTTCGGTAGGCATTCAGAACAGCTGGCTTCGCCAGTTGGCTGGTGTCAGTGCGCTCACCAAGTCGACGTGGGCGTCCGCCAAAGCACATCCGCAGGTCAACACATACAAGTGCATGGTCGGTTTTCTACACATTTGCTCCAAATCGAGCGACAGTTCTGGACGCAGCCTCTCCATCGGTAACTTATCGCAATGTGATCGATTTGCGTCCATAGCTTGTTCGAGGCTGTTGGGCACCAAGTCACCCTCCGGCGGGTGCTGTGTCGGAAATTAGTGCTTGCAAAAAATACGCGAGCATCTTCACATAAATGAAGTAACCGCTCACCGTTATCATTACGGGAGCCTATACCATGTTGGCCGCCCAGATGCAGATCATCTGTGGATAATTTTCCAACTTGAGCGTTCAGATCCCCAGCCAGCACTATAGTGTACGAGCTTCTTCCTTCATTTGATCATAGAAGTCGTCCTTTACCGAGTCATCGCTACAGTTTGTTAGTGTATAGGCAGCGATAACGAATAGACACCTGTTAGTCCCACGCGACTTCGAAGTTTTGGACGAGCCAGGCAATCGGACCGCACACATCCGGCTACTGATTGGAATCCAATCAACCAGAGTAGCTTCAGCCCGGGGACTCAGGGCAATACCAACACCGGCTTTGCCGGTGCTCGAAGCTGCATCGTTACCGGATAGGCGCAATGAGAAAGTGCTGCCAGTGTCCCCTGAAGGGGATCGCAGAGTGAGTACAGAGCTCGAGTCTTTCAGGCGGGTCTCCGATAAGCAGCTGATATCGATCAAAAGGGTCTCTAATGTTCGGGCAAGTGCTGTCTGTTGACCGATCTGTAGTAATGTGCGAACATTGAGGCATGTCAATCTGAAGGAGGATCGAGGGCTCCAAATGGAAGCCGATGAATTGGAATGGGCCGCTTGGTTGGACATGGGCCTGTTGACAGGGCAGGAATGACGCTTCGCGTTCACATGTGAGTTGAAATTAATGACAAGCGACTATTGAAGCAAGGTGGGGGAGGGCCGAGAATTGGGGGGTTAAAAACAGGGGGATAAAAGTGCAGCTGGAACGGAACGCTAAGAGTAAAAAAGCGCAAGAAGGGGAATAAGAAGACGGGAAGGCTTGAGCGGTAGCATCCAAACCCCTATCCACCCTGCCTGATGCAGCAGAAAGGGCACAGTTGATTATCTTCTGCGGTGGCCAGAGTATCAGAAATTTGTTTGAAGAGATATTCATTGTATTGCATGGGCAAGATACTGTTAGGTTGCCCAGACCTAGACAGGAGAACGATTAGGGTTCTCAACCAAAGTCTTTGGTTCAAAAACCTATCCGCAAAGCAGCGGATTTGACGCTGGGCTAAAAGGAGTCCGTTTTAAGGAATAAGGCGCCACACTCATTCCAACCCTCAACCTGGATGACCAGGAGGCTGAGTTTGTCTGGCCTTTAACCATTGACCAATCTGCTATGAGTGACTCTGAAGGTGCAAAAAATGCACCACCCAGTATAGCTCAATGGATCACTGAGGCACACAAACCATCGTACCAGGGTAAGGTCCAGCCTCATTGCGATGGTATCAATGTCGTGTTATATACTCTTTTACGGTTCTCCTTGTTGCCGCATAGCGATGATCAAATGGACTCAAGAGGCGCTGCCTGACTATAGCTGAAGCTCTTGCTATCGGACGCTTTCAGCCGGAATAATGCAAGCAGCAAGCTCTCGTGCAAGCGCTAATTCTGAACTGGTCCTCACGCAGTTAGCATGCATCAAGGTCACCGGTCCATCGTGACTCGTTTGGATCTGTCATTAATTGCTGTACATAATAAGTTTCCAGTTTAACTGTTTCCTCTATCATCCGACGTCCTTATCCTTGTACATAGCTAGCAATAGTTTTTTGCAACTTTCAGTTATCTACTTCATAATTATAGCGCTTGACGATATTTATGGAAAAGAAATTTCTTTGCAATTGTTCTCTTCATGTCTGAATGCGCATAATTTATGAGTATAACAATCTCCATAGTACTGTTTCTCAAAGGGTGGTCCGCGGATGCCCAGGGGGTACGTGGGCTACTTTCAGGGAATCCGCGTGATCTCCCAGTGTTATAATTCTATTAGGAAATTTTATGGACGCGCTCAGTCCATGTCACAAATTTATGACAAACATGCCGTGCAAATTTTTAAATCAAACCTAACGGTTTACATTATAGCCTTGTGCATTGCCCATGGAAACATACCCCTTTCAAGGAGGAAGCTTGTTTGGCTGGGAGTTAAAATGTGAGCGAACGAGGCTTTCCTAGTTCAGTAAGGTCGTGTGTTAATTTCACCGTGATGCCATGGGCAGTGGCTGGATGGGTCATTCTACGTCCGCTCAAGCTCACATAACCCAGTCTCTGTCCCTCGAGGGGGAACGATAGGTATACCATATGATAGGGCTCAAGTTTGCGATCATTTCAAGTGTTACTATTCTCCGAAAAATAAGCAAACCGGAAGGGAGGCCCGTTTGCGGGATCGCTTCAATGGAAGCTCAGAAGGAAAGCGTGGATATTTTTGTGTTTAACGAGTGTGCTCAGCCGAGTATGCGAACTCAAGGGAAACTACATCAACGACGTTACAAAAGGGTGGCACTTTCGTTCACTACAATACTTCTTTCAAAGTACAACCTATCATAGTAACCAAATTCCTGGTGTGTTTTGGACTCTTGTGTTTAATCTTTTATCTCTATTGTTGTAGTTAGACATGTAACATCAACAGGGACCATGAAATGAAGAATGGAATACTGCTAAATGTTTCACAGGGATACTCTTCGTCGAATTCAGATGTAGTAGTAGTTGGGCCAGCCAATGTGCCTTCTGAGCATGCAGCAACGGAGATGTGATGCAACATAAGTCTGTGCCAACCGGATCCTCCGTACCAGTATGTAAGAGGCGGAAATACAACAACATTTATGTTCTTTTTGGATTTATAGAGTCCAACAATTGTGCACAAGTTGACTTGTGTGACAAACATGGTGCTTATTAAAACGCAGCGGCATTTGGGCAAATTCATACGGACTGTAAAGACAGAAAAAAGGACTTACAGCGCATGCGAGATGAAATATTGAACACCCAAACGTACATGCTTCGCGCATCGCAAACTGTAAAAAAAGCTAGGGAAATATGTTACATCGTTAGTTATAGTAATGCGCTGAAGCAGAACCGAGAAACGTATCCGGCCATGCATACAATGTGCATGAAGATGACCTAAGACTCTTACTTTCAAAAAGCGTCTCACAGACTGTCTCTGTGTGATTTCTGATACAAAGCGAACGATGTGTACCTTGTCATGGTAGACAGCTATTGCCGTCCTTCTCCCATTTGCCACAACTTATCTGTGTGAGATTGCATTCTCGCATTATATCTATACAACACAAAGTACCGAGACAGACCTGAAGCGCAACGAGATCCGAGGTTATAGCTTTCCTCAATAACACCTAGTATCAAACAAGTCAGCGCTGCATGTCGGAACGAATTTTATCCAAGGTAGTAGGCCTTAATATAGTTGCATTTGCATGTAAGTTCAACTGCCTTCACTTTTGCCAACATAAATGAACAACTGTGCAAATTTAGTGTACAGCGATGAACTCCACCTCATTCTTATGTTATTAGACCCTAGTTCTGTGGATAAGGAAAGCTCAGGGGTCGATCGTGCTACTGTACGCTAAAAATGGGTGCAGGTGCCGAAAAGCTTGAGAACACCTGCTCTATAGTGACACACGGCATCCTGTTGGCCGACGGTGTTTGACCAATGAGGAAGCTACTCGTCGGTGCGTGTGTGCATCTTAGCCAAACTTTGAAACGCACCAACTTGAAACTGCTTATGAACCAAGTTGAAAATGCTTACGAACCAAGTTGAAAATGCTTACGAACCAATTTGCTTCCTCTATTAACTAACTTGCCTCGGAAATGGTATAGATAGTCAACACTTTGTTTTTAGATGTAGATCGTCGCAGTCCGCTCTCAGTCAAGCAGGCTGCGACACGTCTGGAAAAGCATCAGACAGCCGTTTCTTCATTATGGGTCCCATCATTGGTGCGCGCTCCTCGGATTCCTGCCAAGTTCTGAATACATGAATTCCAGATGCCAGCAGCTTGTGCCACTAAACCATGGGCGCTCTTCTGGCTGTAGGGCACCCACGTGGTTGTCCCATTTCCCCATAGTCGTTTAACTTCACCTTGAATTTTATCAGTGGGACGGGGGACATTAAGGTATTACCTAGAGGAAACAGGTTGAGCTAGACTGTGCGGGATAGATCGCTTTGCTGTTTGAAACGCAAAAGATATCACAACTACTTCCGAATACATTCTCAAAAACGGTCGCAGCCTGTTGCGGGTGCTTCTCATCTTCTAAGTGCAAGATATTGTTGCAGGAATATTAGCCACATCATAATCCACTGACTATCGGAGACAAGGAATTGCATCTAGTAGCTTAATACACTCAGTGCTAGACTGAAGTTAGCTCCCCTACTGCAGAACCTAATGTAATTTCTTAGTTCTGAGACGTCTCTGACAAGCAGTTTGAAAGTTCTAAATAAAAGGCAGTTTTGAGGACTGTTCTTTTGTATTGAATTGAGTCAGCTCTATCTGCCTAACGCCTTGTTCCTCTTTGTTTGCCAAACGCTGCTGTTGACGGATCTAACCAGTTTGCCCACACCGACTATATTCGCCTGCAAGTAATAAGTCGTGACATGCAGGTTAGATTTTTAGGGTAAAAGCTGACACTAAATAAGTTGCGTTGGCCTAAACACATGATGTACTCACAGTTTACCAAGCGCAGCCTCGTTTATCTGCCGGAAGTTAGACCATACAAGGATCGAGCGTCGCGAGGGTGAAGACTAAGCTGAATGTTGTTGTACCCTCTCGCTCCCTAGATAGGAGTCTTCAAGATTTGTCGTGTGTTTGGCTCCAGCCTGCACGACATAGCGGATGGTTAGGAACTGTAACTGAGATATTGGTTTGTTCTCTAAAATCCGAAATGTTGAGTTGGCTGTGAAGTGAAGTCGGTTATGTCGATCTGCAGTACCAGTAACGAGCAGGATGCCTGGCTGATGCTGTCTTATGTTAACTCGACAGCTCGCTTATTGTGACTGTGTTGATAGCAAGCTGTAGGTATCTTACCCATGACGGTCCACTGGGTGCATTTAGTTTTAACACTCGGTCCATCTTCCCGTCAATTTGTTGATTCTCATTAATAACATAATTGTGGTTGTATGGTACCCAAGCGCTAGTGCAGAGTTCTATTTTGTTGCTGTTGGTTGTAATGATGATGATGCCGGCCAAGAACAGGCGGGGACCCAGTACCGACCCTTGAGGTACGCTGCACTAGACTTCGATTATATGAGATAGCTTTCTGAAAATCATCACTTTCCAATGACGAAAGAGAGTAGGTACCATTCTATCTTTGTTTAATTCTTTATAGTGCAAAGTTGGCCAAATCTTCGTAAGCCTTAAATGTTCAAGTGTTCTTAGAACAGGCCAGTGATCAGGCGTCTGCAATCGGTCAATACAACCAAGTCAAAACTAAAAGGTATATCGGTGTACTCTGTAGATCCTTCGCCATCGGCAGCAGTAGGTTCTACCACCCCAGTGCCAAAAAGATCGTCATATACAGCTACAGTTTCTGCACAGTTGGGTATTAGGCCTGACACAGCGTTTGTCACTTACAGCGACACTTACCCTAAACACTCCTCGTCGTAATGATGCGTTTACGGACAGCAGCATCATTTTTAGGAATATTGTTGATTCATCTGCGGTTATTCTGAAAGCGCATGCATGATAACCTTCATCGGTTTATAAGGTGTGTTTCTAAACTTTTCCCACTCTGGTTTCTTTGAATTTCATTTAAAAAATATGCTAGGTTTGGGAACATGCCAAGTGACAGGACAAGCGGTGGACCCCGTTTCCTGCGTGCAATTCTGTCTTTACCGGAGGAACATCAAGCTCTTTGGTATTTCACCTCTAGACTAAAGGGTTTCGGAGTCAGTGTACTGTCGGACTTAACTTTAGCGAACAGGATAAGGCTAAAGGAAGCTATCGATTATCTTAAATAACGTCGAAAAGCTGGCGTAAATACTTACGTTTGGCGGGTTTTCGGGTAGTGAGCCGGAGGTGCATTTCCGCCCTGCCACAATCGATTGCAGTAGCACAAGATTTGGGGCTTTCTATGCCAGACGTTATCGCGTAGTTCTCAGTAATATGCGTAGACTCCGAAACAAGATGTGGGAAGTTGGCGACCTGATCATGCCTCCATGAGCGTGCCTCGCATAGTCGAAAATAAAATATATATTTATTTAATAGGCAACACTTATCCTGATGCACTCACTATCACGGAAACATGAATACCATCGGACTTCATGGAGTTGACTAACTCAGTCTTAATAAAACCCGAAGCAGTATTGGTCTATGTTTAATTTGTAGTAAATCGAGCCCATCTGTCTTAGTTTTATTTGGCAATGACGATGCTACTGCGCCCACTGATCATGAAAAGTCTGTCTACTCAGAGCACAGTGTGCCGAAACCTTTTCCCTGCAGGATCACTCATCGCTTGCTGATTTAACAGCGAGAGTCTCAGACTACTGCTGTCCAACTGAAATTTTCTTTCGGACGCACAAGTTCTCTACGTTCTCCATGATCTAGATCTTACCAAGGCGGTTGGGATGGATGACATTTACTCAAAGCTGCTGTACGTATTGATAAGTGATCTATGTGACCCAGTCACGCGTCTGTACCAGATATTACTTCACACTTGTTTCCTGTCTCAGGACTATAAGGTGGCTATCGTCTGACCCGTTTAGAAATATTGAGCGACAAGTACTTCCACGTCAGTTACAGACCGGTTCGTTTGACAACCATACTGATCAAGCTATTCAGCAAGTTGGTCGAAGATGCCCCTGAAAACCATTTGCGAACGTTTGATCTGCTCATTCCACTTAAACAAGGTCTTCGCAGGGGTCACTCCTTCATGACCAATTTGCTAGTGGCACGTGAATGTGGGCTGATGCTGTGGATCGGGGTGTTGCAGTGGACATGCCCATTATTGACTTCTCTAAAGCGGTTGACACCATACCACATTCTTGTCTCTTAATAAAGCTTCGGTCCTATGGCATATCAAGTGGATGGATCTCCACACTTCCGGAATCAAAAGAAACGTGTGTTCGCGTGAGGTCTAGTCCATCCTTCCGTCAGTTAGTCCTTATTGAGGTTCCGCAGCGGTCATTGATTGGCTCGTTGTTGTTTTTGTATGTAGATGGGCTGCCAGAGCTTCTGGTGGTTTCGTCTCTCATGATTGCAGATGACTTGAGGTTATGATACCCAGAGTCGGACTCAGATGATCACCAGGCTTCGCAACAGTCTCTCGATTAACTCTGGGCCTAGGCTGCACTGTGACAGTCGCCTATAAATTACACTAAGTATTCAACTTTGTGATAGGGCCACATGGCTCCCGCTTGCGTTTCCCGCTTTGCGGGAAGAATTAGAGCATGTTTCCAGACTCATAGACCAAGCGATCATGTTGTTATGAGCATTCAAGTCCAGTGAGAACTGGAGGAAAGCCCCGTACAAAGGTTTCAGAACGCTGGGGATGATCTGCGGGTCATTCGAAATCATCATGGGAGATATGTTTTAGATTATTGTCACTTCTCCATAAGCCGCACTTGGAATACTACATCCAGCCTTGTCCACTTACTTACTCACGGACAGGACGTTAGTGGAGAAATATTGTGGGTCGGAACCAAAGCTGCGCATGGACTACGGAACTTTTCGTATCAAAATGTTACTTAAGCTATGAATTTTCGCAGTGCATTTTCGTCGCCATGGTGGCAACTTGATCATGGCCTACCATATAGCGACTAAAATAATTTGATCCGAATTCTTCTTGGCTCTTCCAACCCGTTCGGCTACTAGACGTCTGGAACTACTCAAGGAAGTTATTTAAGCCTCGACCTAATGGAGTCTAGAAGGACTTAACTACATCACGAAGGGTAGTGGATTCCTGGAAAGGGCCGCCTGAAGACGAGGCATTGTCACCAACGGCGAGAGTTTGTACTTCGACTCGATGTCCTTG